TAATTAGTCATATCTGATGCTATTGCAGGAGGCTGAGGGTACGTCTACACAGCAGTGTTATTTTGGAATAACTGATATTATTCTGAAACAACATAGTGCGCATCTAAACAACAAGACTTTGTTTCGAAATAATGTTGAGCTGGAGGACTTCTTACTCTGACTCCTAGTAACCCTCATTTAATGAGGAATAAGGGAAGTTGAAGGAAGAGTGTTCTTACTTCGACTTCCTGCTCTGTAGACCACGCCAAAAGCCAAGTTAAGCTATTTTGACTTCAGCTACACAATTGACGTAGCTGAATTATGTAGCTTAATTTGACTTTAGCCCTGCCGTGTAGATGTGCCCTAATTTGCGGAAGTAGAATAACTGAACTCCTTGATTCTTAACAGATTTTGTTTTCTAAAGGAATAAAACAGCAGGATTCAGTAATATTAATCTGTAGTTTGGTCTCAGGATCTTGTCTGTGCCACAGATATTTGGATGTGTTCAAACAGGCAGAACAGCTGAGAGGAAAAGCAAAACACTGCAATGGGCTGTCTCAGAATTCAAGAGGAATCCCATACATGGGGAATTGGGGGGAGGAACTATTTAAACATCTGAACATCCCACGCAACTTTCCCCCTCAAAACATTACAATTCCGGGGGAATAAATCACTCATTAAAAGAAAGGGGAAATGGTCAATTCAAATGGGAGGGGGAAACACAGGAAAATATCAGAAAACATCCCAAAGCATGGATTGCAGAACTTTGGCAGCCTAAAAAAAGCCCTGCAGATGCCATTTTGCTGTCAGGGGTTCAGTGTGCAATTTCAGTAGATGCCCATGAATTCCTCATCCTCTTCCACTGCCTAAATACAGATTAAAGTGCTACATAGTCCTGTTTTTTGTTTTAAATACGGATAGTGTTCGTATAGATGGGGCAGTCCAGCCATGAAGACTCCTTCTCTTTGGAGGAGCGGGTGGCAGGTTGCAGCCTTGCACAAAGTTTTGGCCTGTGCTAGGAACACAGTGCTGTGCACAGGGCCCAGTCTTGAACCACTGAAGTCAGTGGGAGTTTTGACATAACCTTCATGGGGAGAAGAAGCTGGGTTGCCACCATGTCATGCTGACAGTGAGGCGAAACTGTTGCACTAGTTCACAACTGGTTTGATGAGGCAGGCATGAGAGATCCAGGGCCAAATGGTGTGCCAACACCCTGTAAAAACCCTCTTCCTTCAGGGACAGAGTGGATCCACCCTCACCCGCCCTCCGCTGCCTCTGAGAGGCAGCAGAGGGGGGTGCATGTAACCATTAGGATTAACCAATGAGCCCAGGCTAACTGGTTAATTGTGGAAACGGGTACATGCTAACATCATTACAGGCAGTCCCCGGGTTACGTACAAGATAGGGACTGTAGGTTTGTTCTTAAGTTGAATTTGTATGTAAGTCGGAACTGGTACATATTGTAGGGGAAACTCTAGCCAAACATTTCTCCAGAACTCAGTTTTATTCTCCCACACCTCACTTCCCTCAGTCCTTTATTCTCAAGCTGAGGTGTCTGCTGAGAAAAGCCGCTCCACGTCTCCCTGGTCTGCTGGGGGGAAGCAGCTAGTGCGGGGTTGCCTCACCCCGTTTGTAACTAGGGATCCAATGTAAGTCGGATCCATGTAACCCGGGGACTGCCTGTAATTCTTTGGATGCTGCTATAATCTAAATATCAAGTACGAACAAGGATTTTCAAAGGGGCCTGAAAGTCAATGGGAACGTACCTCCCTTAGGAGTTTTCGAAAATTGCAACCAAGGCTAGGAAGTTATTGGGGGTGAGTGGGAAGAGATTTCTTATGGTTAGCATTTATATTCAAGAAGTGCTGCAAACTCTCCCAAGCCTTCTAAAAAGGCACCAACAGAAGACTGGAAATATCGCTCCTCCCCCTGTTCCTAGCTGCTCTTGGCTAACACTAATTCTGCGCTAAGCCTGAGGATACTACCCATGTCTGTTTCAGCATTTCCAATCTCATACACACTGATTTAGTAATGAGGTTCCGGGCAACAGTAATTACATTCCTTGTGCTGTATCCACACTGTCACTTCACTGCTCAGATGTCTCTTCAGATTTGGATAGGATCTCTGATGTGCATGACGTGCTGAGCCTCTTTGGATGAGCTAATTGAATAGTTCTTCACACCCGAATAGCCCTTGGGCACCACCACCTTGCCACTTGCTGGAAGAGCATCTCAGCTAAGTATCCAGCCAGGCCACACTCATTCACAGCTAATTGATTTTAAACAGCGCTTTTGTGTTCATTGGTTTACTAATTCTCAGATTTGTTTCTAGCATGGAGTGAACCAAAGGATATGAGTGTGGATTCTCCCTCCTTCACCCCATCAGCTCCAACCAAAGCTTGGGCTACACTCGCAGCTATAAGCTCTGTAGCTAAGCCGATTGATTTAATTCAGCTTCCCTGGATCCAGACCCCGAGGCTCGGGGCTCCCCCTCAGTATTGGGGAGCCTGTGTTGGTGCTTCAGCTCCACCGCTATTCCCCCGTAGGGCTGGAGCACAAAAAATCTACTAGCCTAGGCCTGCCTAAGCTCTGGTGCGCAAGGGAAATGCAGTAGCGTCTTTGTCCTTCTCGGTCGGGGGCCAGGAAAGTAAAGGGCTTTTTTCTGGTTTTTTTGCTTCGCGCTTGTGTGCAGCCCTCGACTGATTTGTCTGTGGGTCAGTGGCTCCCAGCCCAAAAAAAGATCATAGTGTCATAGGGTTGGAAGAGACCACAGGAGGTCATCGAGTCCAACCCCCTGCTAAAAGCAGGAAACTGGAAGCCAGGGACCCGCAAGATCACCCAGCATGTCAGTGGCAGAGCTGGGAGTAGAATCCCAGCTTTCCTGTGTCCCAGTCCAGTGCCCTATCTCTTACGCCAAACTGCCTCACAAATTTCTGCCACTCCTAGTTCTCCATCCTGGATTTAATGAAGCGATTTCCTGTGAGTAGGGGTAGCTATGTTGGTGGGAGAAGCTCTCCTGCTTATATAGTGCTATCCACACTGCTGCTTCAGTTGGTGTAACTTACATTGCTCAGGCTATGTCTACACTACAAGGTTTTTGCGCAAGGAAATCGGCAGAACAGAGGGCTTTTTGCGGTGTAGGTATACCTCCTTCTACAAGGCATAACTCCTTTTTGCGCTACAGCTCTTGCGCAAAAAGGCATGTGTGGACGCTCGACAGGGGTTTCTTGTGCAAAAAGAGCCTATCAGAAAAAGCACAGGTGCTCTGATAGCCATTCATCAGAGCTTTCTTGCGCAAGAGCATCCATGCAACGTGGATGCTCTCTTGTGCAAAAGCACATCACAAAAGGTGTGGATGCGCTTTTGCACAGGAAGTTTTTGCGCAAGAACTCTCCAGCAGGCGGAACACACCGCACAGCACGGGGCAGCTGGACTCGGGTTGGCGGCATGCATGCTAAGCGACAGATTGGGGTTCTTCCTCTTTTGCTTCTGCTCTGAAAACACGTGTGAAAGAGAGCTCGCAAAGTACAGCGCTCATGGCTAGCGAGGCATCTGCGAGTGGAAAGAGGGGCCTTGCCAAGAGGGGGAACCGGGTGGGTTTGTAGAGGTGCGCGTTTGTTCTCACCTCCAGCAAGCCTGCAGACTGAATCTCTCTCGTACCACAGTGACTTGCAAGGGGGTGGGGAGCTGTTCTCTTGGATGATTCCTACAAGAAAACCGGGCAGCAAACCTAGGGTCATGCTTTGTTGGCGATGAGCAAACAGAGGTGGGTTGCCACAGTGCTCCCAGTTACAGAACTTCCCCCATCTCATCCAGGTCACCATGCGTGGTATCAGTCTTTTCTGAAGCACAGAGCATGATAGTGAATGAACCCTGACTGGATGTATCTACAACCCTTGGACCTTATACCACTGTGGTTTGTGCTGCACTGATGCCAGATCACTTACTGCTGGCTTGGCATGGAAAGGTGTCCTATCATGGAGGATGGAATAAGGCAGCCCTCCCCCAAAACCTCATGAGACGGATGAAAAAGTATTTCTATGAGAGCCTTATGGAAATGTGCAGGGAGGATTCCCACTCCATGTGCAGACACATTAACAAACTTTTCTGGGGAGCCCCCACGGTAGAGGCAGACTGGCGGCCACTGTATTCCGCAGATTAAACCCAATTACATTTACCCACTGTGGCACGATTACAAATGTGAACTCACCAAAAGTGACCTCCCCAACATCAGGGTCCAGCAGCAATAAGTCATGGGAGGGGATTGACTCCAAAGCTAAAAAAAGGTCATGGCTGTCAGGGAGGTCAGCTCCTCCAAAGGGATGTAAGCGACTAGACTACCCGATAAGCCTAGGCTTATCGGGTAGTCGAGTCACTACTCGACTAGCTGCTTCCCCTGCTTGCTGCCTCTGTATCAAAGGCACCAAGAGGGTGGAGCAGGAGCCGGTGTTGGAGGGAGCTGGCTTAGAAGCTGGTTCCCCCCACAGCACCATCTCTGGATGGGGGAGGCAGAGACAAAGAGGGGGAAACGGCGTGAGCAGGGAAGCAGTCCCCACTCGCACGGGGTCCTGACTGCTGTGCCTCTCCCTTTCAAATGTACAAGAGCCACAGGCAGCTCTTGTACATGTCAAAGGCAGCAGCGCAGTGTGATAGAAAGCGCCCCCCTTATTGACTAATCGAATAGTCAATGGAAATTCCATCAACTACTCAGTTAGCTGATTAATGGAAATTTAACATTCCTAATCATCCGCTTGTTGGCGGAGCATTCTCCTCTTCCTCCTCCTCACCTACAGTTTCCTCCTCCCTTGTTGCCTGTGGCTGCTGGAAGAGTCACTTGGGAGGTATCCTCAGACAGTTTTGCGACAGTGGTTGACTCCCCCCTCTAGAATCCTATGCAGCTGCTCATAGAGGCAGCATGTTTGAGGCTCTGACCCAGATGGGCCATCTGCCTCCTTTGCCTTCTGGTATGCTTGCCTTAGCTCCTTTATTTTCATGTGGCACTACTGGGTGTCCTTTTCTCACCTGTCCTGTGACATCAGCATTTCTTCTGCTGCTTCGGTGTGCTGTCTGCACAGATACCTCTCCCCATACAGCAATCAGGTCCAGGATCTCCTGCATGCTCCTTGCTGGAGCTTGTTTGCGACCCTGGGCATTCATGGTCATGCTGCTGAGCTGTGCTCGCCATGCTGGCCAAACAGGAAATGAAATTCAACATTTCCCAGAGCTTTTCCTGTGTACCATAGAGAGCAGCAGAGTTGAAAATGTTGTAGCACTGTGGGACACCTCCCAGAGTCCAAGAATGTCAACTTTAATAACGCTGCGTCTGCACTATCCCAAACTCAACCATGCTAGGTCCAATGTCGTGCTACGTCTCATCAAGGAAGAGTACCAAAATTGACTATAAACGCCCTTCAAGTTGTTGGAAGGGGTTTGGTCGTGTAGATTCATTGGTTATAAAATGGACTAATCATAGAATCCTAGGACTGGAAGGGACCTCGAGAGGTCATCGAGTCCAGTCCCCTACCCCCATGGCAGGACCAAATACTGTCTAGACCATCCCTGATAGACATTTATCTAACCTACACTTAAATATCTCCAGAGATGGGGATTCCACAACCTCCCTGGGCAATTTATTCCAGTGTTTGACTACCCTGACAGTTAGGAACTTTTTCCTCATGTCCAACCCAAACCTCCCTTGCTGCAGTTTAAGCCCATTGCTTCTTGTCCTATCCTCAGAGGCCAAGATGAACAAGTTTTCTCCCTCCTCCTTATGACACCCTTTTAGATTCCTGAAAGGAATCATGTCCCCTCTCAGTCTTCTCTTTTCTAAACTAAACAAACCCAATTCTTTCAGCCTTCCTTCATAGGTCATGTTCTCTAGACCTTTAATCATTCTTGTTGCTCTTCTCTGGACCCTCTCCAATTTCTCCACATCTTTCTTGAAATGCGGTGCCCAGAACTGGAAACAATATTCCAACTGAGGCCTAACCAGCGCAGAGTTGAGCGGAAGAATGACATGGCTAAGTTTGACCTAAACGTAGTGTAGACCAGGCCTGAGTCTAGACTAAGCCCTCAACCTCAGAGTGTGAATTTTGAAGGTCCCCCCCGCTTTTCTTTCCTGTTTTCATAATTTCAACCAAGGACTAACCAAAGGAATCAGTGTAGGAAACACAGTAAAGTCAGGAGACATCAAAGGCTGATCTTGCAAACAAATGTGAGTGGGGACCTTCTAATCCTACTGTATGAACCCATTCATTGCCTGAGAAAAACACCTCCACTACACATTGGCACCAACTTCTCATCTTGCTGGGATGTGTGTGTGCTCAAACCCCTGCTTCCACGCCAGACCCCCCCCTACACACACACACCACTCAGCTCCACCCTGCTTCTTCTCCTGAGCATGTCCCAACTCTGTTCCTCCCCATCTGTCCTGGAGCTTGAATGCTGTGAATCAGCTGTTTGCAGCACTCCGAAAGCACTGAATGGTAAGGGGGGGAGTTGGTAAATGCAGGGTGGTCAGCACATGAGGCATAGGGGGAGGGCAGCTTGGCACTAGCGGGTGCTCTGCACCTGCTAATTTTTCCCTGTGGCTGCTCCACTACGTATGATGAAGTGGGCAATACTTTTTGCCTGGGGGCCACTTCAGAAATTCAAAAGGTGCGGGGCAAGGACACTGGCGTGCTTCCCACCCACAGACCCTGATTGGTCTGTTCCTGATTGGTCTGGGGGTGGGAGAAGCGCACAAAGTCTTTGCCCCCAGTAAACTGCTTCTAGGTACCCATGCCCCTGATTGGCCTAGGGGTGGGAGGAGCATGCAAAGTCTCCTCCCACCCTGCCCCCATCCTGCAAGGAGTGTGTGGCGCTTAGAAGCACCGCACCCCTCACAGGGTGGGAGGAGACTTCTTGCACACACACACACACACACACACACACCCAGGCCAATCAGGGCTTTGGGGTAAGGGGAGCTCATGAAGTCTCCTCCTGCCCTGCCACAAGCGTACAGTGCTTAGAAGCACCGCATACCCCTTGCAGGGCAGGGGCAGTGTTGGAGTAAGAGTTTTATATCTTTTTATAATTGCATTTTAGATTTAATAGTGTAGTCATGTAATGTAACACATTGAACATTTTATCAATGAAGTCCGTTAGTTAAATATACATTTCTTTGTTTTAAAGTTTAGTAAGTAAAGAGACAGGGTTTTGGTATTGTGTCTCTGTTAATGAGATTAGAAATACTGAAGGCCCAGGCCTTCAATATGAATTGTTTTGATTATGGTTTAATTTACAATGCATTTTGCTTTTTATAAGCACTGCTATTTGCATACCTTTGAAGGTCTCTGTGAGAAAGACTGTTTGTGTGAATGAGAAATGTATCATCATAAAGATAAGGTGTGAAGGTCGGTGTCGGAGCCAGATGGCCAGGAAAGGAGGGAGTACTCGGGTGAAGACAGACTGTAAAGATAGACTCATCAGTGTCAGAAGAGCCATCAGTGCGTACCCATGGTCAGGGATTGGCAGAATTGATGGCTTTAAAGGTGAAGGGTGGGCACCCCAAAAACAACTGATTAAATCCAGGACAGGATGATTTTCTCGGAGATGTTTGGAACGTCCATATCAAAAGATAACAGTGACCGGTCACAGACTGACACAGGAAAATCCATAGAGGAAAGGATTATAAAAGCACGGTGCTTTGCCATGGAACTTTGGGTTCGTCTTGCCACCAACTCCAGGAGAGCATTGGATCGCTACCGACAAAGCCCAGCTCCCTCTCTGTGATCGATCTGGTTGGCCACTAGATTGATCCAGACTCTGGACTGGTAACTATAACATTGTCTGGTGGGACTGTGTGGCTGTGTCTAGACTGGCCAGTTTTTCCAGAAAATCAGCCGCTTTTCTGGAAAAACTTGCCAGCTGTCTACACTGGCCGCTTGAATTTCCGCAAAAGCACTGACTTCCTACTGTGAGAAATCAGTGCTTCTTGCAGAAATACTATTCTGCTCCCGTTCAGGCAAAAGTCCCTTTTGCGCAAAAGGGCTGGTGTAGACAGCTCAGATTTGTTTTCCGCAAAAAAGCACCGTTCGCGAAAATGGCGATTGGGGCTTTTTTGCGGAAAAGCGTGTCTAGATTGGCACGGACGCTTTTCCGCAAAAAGTGCTTTTGCAGAAAAGCGTCCATGCCTTGCAGAAATACTATTCTGCTCCCGTTCAGGCAAAAGTCCCTTTTGCGCAAAAGGGCTGGTGTAGACAGCTCAGATTTGTTTTCCGCAAAAAAGCACCGTTCGCGAAAATGGCGATTGGGGCTTTTTTGCGGAAAAGCGTGTCTAGATTGGCACGGACGCTTTTCCGCAAAAAGTGCTTTTGCAGAAAAGCGTCCATGCCA